AGCTCTTTTCCTATTGGATAGGCTAGACTTTAGGCTTAAGTTATCTGGCTAAACTGAAAAATCCTGCTTTGCAAAATACTCCCTAGGTCTGTATTCCTGTGGGACACATCTACAATATCTTGTGGTGTGGAGCAGCCGGTTAACCAGCCAAGTGCGGGTGGAAGCGGAAATTAATGAACAGCCAAATCAAATTATATTGATAACTATTACTTTACAGCAAAATAACAAGAAGTAATGAAGTCATTCTAAACAGAAATCTGACACTAGTTCTAGATAGAGGCAAACAATCACATGAATCATATGAATTGCTTTGTTGCAGGCTACAAAAATGGCAGAGCCAGTCAAAATGGCAGAGCCACAGAGACAGTCAGATGGCCACAACTGTAAAAAGCACTCCTAATAAAAGCAAATATACAACAATAAAACTGACTTAAAGCAAGTTTGCCCTACGGCGGTCATTTTCAAATGCGACCAACACAGATGGAAACCAGTAATACAGGTCTGCGGGCGGGATCAGGACTAAACATTTAGTTTGAGGGTGGGAGCAAGACAAACAGTGCAGATTTTCTGCAGACTTTACAAAAAACAAAACAAACAAAAAAAAAAACCCTGACTGCGCACACCTCGATTACAAATTACTGATGTAATCTTTGACTTGGACTCAAATGGCGCTCCTTTCACAGAAAGAGTTTTATTATAGAAAGAAAAGACTTTGAATCCGTATAAGAAAAAAAGTCAAAACATTCAAGACACATTTATCTAATGTCTGTAACGAGTATACATATATACGAATATTTGACTCATTACAACCAAGTCCCTTTTCTCTATTTTTGACTATATTTGACTATTTTGTGTAATTAAGAAATGAATGTAAAATTAGGACAGTCACAGCTGACACTGACATCATGCTCTATCAAAACCTTCCCAATAAAAACAAAATTACCTGACTTATAGGGTTCTGGTCAAAGTACTCTTCCACAAAATACTCCATCAGCTGAAGAACAAGAGAGAGAGCGTGCACAGTTAACATCAGGTACTGAAAAAGGAACATGTGCAAAAACTAGTGGCCAAGAAGAAGAAAGTTTAACTTTGGAAAAGGGCTGAAAGATTTATCTTTCTTCAAATTTTCAAATCATACACACTGCAATTTTAATTACATTCCTTTTTTACTTGTCATGAACTGGATGCAGATGATCAGTCAGAAGCAACCAAACACACATGTGCTGTGTACACGACAACTGGCAGTAAACAGAAGCATTCGAGAACCAAAAAGAATGGATTATGCTGGTCTTCCTGGCCAAAATTACCAGCCTAGGCCTTAACTTACAGAAAACCACTGCAATTTATACTACAATACTGGTCAAAACTGGTCAAAACTCAGTGGATTTGATTGAGTCTGATAACTCCCATCTCTTCCAATCAAAGTGCGCTGTAATTGTAATTCAAAGAGGCCCTCTTTCAAACAAACTCCGCAGCAAGGGGCATTAGCTGTAGCTGTATATTTTTTTTTCATCCAATTCTGTGTGACAGGGTGGACAACATGCTAGACCAGGGGTCGGCAACCCACATGTTGAGAAGAGCCATTTTGTCCTGTCAATAAAAATAAATCTGCCTTGGAAGCCACAACATTTTATGTCCATTTGACCATTTTGGCTGTAAATATGTCTCATAAATGTGCTTGTATAAGATAAAAAAAAATAACAAACGAAAACGCAGACTTACTTTGCTCTGCTTTAAGCTTTAGCTCAGCTATGGCCACTTGCATCTCCTGCAGGAAACTTTTCCAAAAAAGTGGAATGGTGCCTGAGGCGCCATTTAAAATAGAACAGGAAAATTTGAACAAGAAGCCGATGAAGAAGAAACTGACTTCAGCCTTGTGACTTTTTAGTGTTTGACAGTTTCTCGATGCAGATTAAATGTATGAGGAAACCAGCTGGAGTGATTATAAATGTAGATGCGTCCATTGGTCTCCAAATTATTAATGTTCGCCTTTTTGTTAGCTACTAGTTAGGTGATACAGGCTGTCTGGGTTGCTATGGTGACCAGCAGTCAACTCCAGGCCATAATATACCATCTGAATTCTAAGGTTACATACATTAATTTTAAGGAACTAAAATATTATTTTGGCTAGTATAATATTACTGTATTACTGGCGTATATAATTAAATGCAGCCAAAAATTAGCTACAATAGTTTTAGTTAAACACTACTTAACCGTTTGATTATGACACCTCTGCGTTCTCAAATTTCTTAAACGCAAACAACAGGAAACAAAGTTTTGTAAAAAATGTAAATGTCTGGTTCTTGCCCAAAATGGCATATTTCTAATGCAGTTAACTTTAACATTGTAAAAAAAGACTAAATTTAACATTTTAGTGCACAATTTCTTTTTGCTTGCTGAGATAATTGACAAAAAAAACATAATTGAAAAAAAGATCCATATATATATATATGCACAGATCACATATATATATTATATAATTTTCCCCAATACATTAAATTTAGCAAATACTCAGTAAATGCACATTAAAATGTTAGAGAATTAAAACGTTCTCTGTAAAGGATGTGTTAACTTACTTTTACTTAAAAATTCAACAAAACATGGAATTTGGCCAGGAGCGCCAAAACGTTTGCATACAACCGTATTTATCATTCAAACAATATATCAGCCAGACCCAAGCAAAAACAGCTGGATCTCACCTTGAGGGTGGATGTGAGTCTGTTAGGCTTCAGGTCCTGGTCCTCCATCGTCCGAGAAGAGTCGATCACCACGTATAGGTGACGCATCTGCACACAATGACGTAAGGTGGACAAACATTAAACTCTGTATGAGCAAACATCATTTATCAATTTCAGAGTCATAACAGAGCTCACCATTCCCAGCCGAACCTGTCCATGACTTTCGAACACCCTGTTTGAGGTGAGATGGACAGGAAAAGACAGAAACAGGCATCAGCAGAAGAACTCACATGTTTACTCCATATAAGCTTTTCTTTAGACACCTCAGCCTCACCTCTTTCTTCTGGCCTGGAAGAGAATGTCCTCTACGGTGGCTCTGAGGGATCCAGACTCGTCCTCCTTCAGCACCTCCCTGAGAGTGTGGAGAAAAACATCAGGTACAATAATTACTTTATTCAAGAGTGCAACAATAGAGGTTCATAAATTAGAGCTTGAAATATATTATCATGTTTGGATGTCATTTTCCAAATATGTGTCCAGTTCAATATGCTACACATAAATATGTAAAGAGGTTCTATGTAAAGATCTGTAGGATTAAACAGACGAAGTAAACGTCTTACTTTCTCAGCACTACAGTGCAAGAACAGCGCAGTATGGAAAATTATCCAGATTTAAAAAGTTTGGGATGTTGTATGAAAGCATTTTGTGATGGTAATAGTCTTTAAGTGGGCTTTATATTTTTTTAATACAGTTTTATTTCATTTATCCGAGATCTATGATTGTTGTACAGTTGTATTAGTGGGTGATTTTCACATCTGTGAAAGTGCCATTAACGCTCTAAGATATATACACGTTGTGGAGCAACATATACTGCCTTCTAGATGACGTCTTTTTCAGGGACAGTCATGCTTATTTCAACATGAGAACGGCAAGAAACTTTCTGCACAAGTTACAACAGCATGGCTGTGTAATCAGAGAGTGTGGATGGTAGATCTGCCTGCAGTCCAGAACTGCCTACCATTGAAAATGTTTCATTAACTTCCATTATAAGTTAAGTTTTTTCCTTCTCTGGTAAAATTACCATTATAGAGATATAAGGTTTTGTTCCGACAATGACGATATACGCTCACTAAGCACTTTAACAGATCCACCTACCTTGTATCTACATTTATTGTATTTTATGAACTCCACTGACCCATACAGGTGCCCTTTGTAGTTCTACAGTTACAGACTGTAGTCCATCTGTTTCTCTGCATACTTTCTTACCCTGTTCTTCAAAGGTCAGGAGGCCCACAGGACCACCAAGAGCAGGTATTATTTGGGTGGTGGATCATTCTCAGCACTGTAGTGAGACTGACATGGTGTTGGTGTGTTAGTGTGTGTTTTGCTGGTACGAGTGGATCAGACACAGCAGCGCTGCTGGAGTTTTTAAACACTGTGTCCACTCACTGTCCACTCTATTAGACACTCCACCTTGTCAGTCCACCTTGTAGATGTAAAGTCAGAGTCTGCTGCTGCCCGGTTTGTGTTGGTCATCCTCTAGTCCTTCATTAGTGGTCACAGGACACTGTTGGCTGGATATTTTTGGTTGGTGGACGATTCTCAGTCCAGCAGTGGCACTGAGGTGTTTAAAAACTCCAGCAGCACTGCTGTGTCTGATCCACTCAGACCAGCACCACACCAGAGTCACTGCAGTGCTGACAATGATCCACCACCCAAATAATACCTGCTCTGTGGGGGTCCATGGGGGTACTGACCACTGAAGAACAGGGTAACAAAGTATGCAGAGAACCAGATGGACTACAGTCTGTAACTGTTGAACTATAAGGTGCTCCTATGTGGTCAGTGGAGCTGATAAAGTGGACAATGAGCGTAGAAACAAGTTTTTAAATGAAAGACATATTTTTTTGAAGAATGTGCCATTAACATGACTCACCATGTCCGCTCGTAGCCTCCTTCCCACCTCTTCGCTCTCTCCGGCTCCTCGTCCATCACTTTAACCGGCGTTTTATCAGCGAACTGGAGGTAAATAAACTCAGACTAACTGAGCTGAACTGACTCCGCTACTCACAGCCAACCCGCTCGGTTAGCGACCTGAACCGCTCACAAACTCCACAAAGCGGAGGGAATAACAGCGCCAAGTCCGCGGTGGGGAAAAGAGACGGTATTGTTCGCTATTTTCTGAAAATATTACCCGAGTATTTTTCACACAGCTGCTAAAACCGCAGCTTTTGTGCCAACACTGCCTCAGCGTCTCATTCAAGTGGAAATATGTGCAACAGCTTTACTCTTCCCACTGATACAGACACGGCAGAAATATCGTTCCGATTTTTGATCCGTTTATTTATTTGATTGCATCGCGTCACACTTTCGTCTCCTTTATTAAAGACAGTAAAAATACAAAAGACCTCGAACATACACACAAAAAAGAGAACACAATACACTTCGTACAGAGTTTCACTTCGATCAGGATATGGCTAAATCCTATGTGAGGGTCCATCATCTGCATCTGAACGATGAAAAGTATTAATTCGTGGCCTCAACATGTTAATTCGTGGCCGCGCCTAATCACGATGTCACTTTAGGGGCTCTGTACATGTTGGATTATGAGACACAAAAAGAGGCACAAGACAAACCTGGAACGTCACAAGCTTGAGCTAAAATGAATGACACGAAATCACGATCATTCAGATACGACAGAACCGTGTTGTAGGAAAAGGTAATAGCTTAATAATCTGACAAGTTACTGCTAAACAACAGAAATCACAAATGTACAAAGTTATAAAATAAAAATAATAATAATAAAAAGAAACTAAATTAAAATCTTTACATGTTCATTTACTTATTTCACTCTCAGACCCCCAAAACAAACTTCACAATTACTTTTTCCAGATGGTTTGTGATCCGAAGAGTTTGCCGGTGTACCGGTCACAGTTCTAAAGTGCTGCGATTTCTTAGGTTAAAGTCTGGGTAAGATTAGTGACCACTTAAAGAAATAAGTCCAGTGAAAAAGTTAATTCACACAAAAATTCAGAACTCAAGATGACTGCGATGGTTGTTTTTATCTGCACGCTGTACTTTTGTCCACTTTTGGTAGACAGTATCTCAGAAACAGCAAAATCAAGTCTGAGACCGTATTTTTAACAAGTTCTCGCCAACTTGGCCTCGCTATGTTACAGAAGTGGCCGCTCACAGTATAAAGGGAGGAGTGGACAGTGAGGAGATGACTGTGAGGAACGCCCTCAGCTAGGTTAGCTTCAGTCTGAGAATCAGCTAGCCATGCTAACTCTGTAGTGCAAAAGCTTTTCTATGGCATTTAAATTTGGTTGATAGTTTCTTTGTCTGGCCAAACGCTTTGATGTAGAAACCTCTATTTTTTATTGTTGCTAGCTGTGTAGCCTTTAGCTTGCTAACTAGCAAGCTAGCAGAGTAAAGAAGTTGTATTAGCAGTAAATGATAACAAATGGAGTAGCTGGCTACTTTAAACTTTGTGTGAACACAGAAAATGTAAAGTTATGCGTTTGGCCAATACTCATGACCAATTGAGAAGGAAAAAATCCATTTGAAGATCCCTCCAGTTCGTAATTCCCACTCTGAAAGTTGGAATTTCCCCACAAAATGCTCTGACATCCCTAAGCTGCAGTTCCATGACGTTGTTTCAACATGGCAGAGCAGACAGAACAAGAAGGAATAGCGCATTGTTTTTAGCTTTTTAGGCCTTTTGAGGTGATGCTTGTGCCTGATATGCTAATTGTGTACTGCTAAACACTGAGGCCTACTTGGACAATTATAAGGTCATTCTGTACAGGATTTTTACCAAACTGTGCACTTTTGGTGCTATATTAACAAATAAATCGCCACAGCCTACGTCCGCTTTTTAAATAAATGAAGCATTGACCAAACCACTCTTTCAAAGACTGTTTAAGAGCTTTTAATACACCCACAGCAGCCAAATGAGGGCTAGTTTACTGTGAGCGTCCATTTTTTTTTATCTCAAACAGTAAACGCTTTGAGGTGGGAAGCAAGTCTGAAAAGTCCCTGAGTTCCTGCTTGTCATCTTTGTAAGCCAATTTTTGGGTTTGAAAAGGAAATAATGAACTTTTTTAATGAACATTTGAACTAATAAAGTAATAGAACAGCCCTTAAGATGGCGCCGTGGATTCCCAAGAGGAGAAAAGACGAGGGCTTGCGTTGGAGAGCAGAACAAGGAGAACAACTTGGAGTGAGGTTTAGGCATCCAGTTTACGTTATGCTAACTATGCTAATTATGCTAAGTGGTGAGACATTAGCTTCCATTTCTTCTTAGCTACATTAGCATTGTGGCTCCTTTAGACCCCAAATGCGTCTTGGCTGACTGTGTACATTTTGGGTAATGGGGAAAACTGCAATCACTTTTCCTCGCCCAACTTATTTCTTGAAGTATGTATTTGTCCATGTTTTTTTCTAGTTCTCTCATGATCTGTTTTTTAATATTTCAATCTAAATTCACTACAATGACTAACAATACTCTGTTTCTAAAGCTACAGCCGCCTTGTAACAGTGAGTGCTACTGATCCTGGCTCGAAAGTGAGCCCATATTTATACTTCTCAGAGTCAGTGTGCTGATCTCAGATCAGTTTTGGTCTGTTTTATATTCTAAAGAACACAGTTATGTGAAAAGAAGTGAGGGCTGTTCACAGATCAGAGGTTTTTCCCTTTTGTGCTGCTCAATAAATATGGAAATATGGGTGTGGGAGTGCAGGAGTGTTGTAACTTCAGCCATGTCAACACAGAGGAGGCATACATGTTCTAAAAAAACAGCAGTGCAATTCTGTTGTGTACAGTCAACTTCAAAACAAATGACGCTTTTTAGCCAACTGTGAGCCAAACATTGACCCCAACTGTGGCTGAAGCTGTACACCAAAAAACGGCTACTGTACCTGGAATAAGGAATAAGAACTATTCAAAAAAGAAGAGAATAAAAGTTACGTTAAGAGTCTAATACAAAAAAGAAAATAAAAACAGATTAAAAAAAAGCACTTTGTATCAGGTTCGTAGCGGCTCAAAGGCAACGTGTTGAAATCAACAGAGAAGGTGACGTCCAAACGAGCAGGAGTGTGGAGCAGGCTGGGCGAGAAAATGACAAGACGGAGCTTCTCACGGTCTGCGGTCATAATCGCTGACCCTCCGCTTGATGTGGGACAGCTTAGCTTTCAGCTGTTTGCATCTCTTCTTCTTCATTTGGTATTCTGCTGACTATAGAGGAGAGAGATAATGAGATAAGAGTTATTAACAACAAAAATGAAAGTGGATACGATTACAGACTGATTTTACTCTTTCTCACAATCCAGAACTAGAACATTTAATGCGATGGTTAGGCCTGTCACGATTGTTGGATAATCGTCTAATCGTAATGATTAGAGATGATCGCAACCATTTTCCACAGTGGTTAGACTTCACAGTCATATTATGCTGCAACAAACAGAATGTGAATGGGGTGCACTGAATTGTGGAAAGTAAAGATAAATAAAAGAAAGAGTTAAATGTTTTCACTGAAACGTCCTGGAACTTACAGTAACAAAAATGTTCTAACTTCTAACTTGGTGTTCTAGCATGTTTAGAGATTTGGCAGAATGGTCAGCATTTCTATAGGTCCATGAAATTTTCACGGAATGTAAAGGGCAGTTGATTTGGACAACGTGGACAGCAACAACTTTATAGAGGAGCACTGCAATAGGATGATAGAGCTGGAAGTTTTAGGAAAAGTATCTATTTTTCAGACCAATATTGTGCGTGCAATTTAAGTGTGATTGTTTTCTATGAATTAAACTCGAAAACCTCCAGAAAAAAAAAACAGCACTTCAATATTTTGAGGCAGTTTTAACTTAAATTGGCCCACCTAAACCTTGTTAAATCAAAGTTGATGCTCTAGCGATTTGAAATGATACAAACATGAACAACTACTCCAACACCAACTAGCCAACATCATTACAGCCATAGCTTCATTATATTCATATAAAATTACTAAAATAATCAGAGAGAAAAAAATATTTTTGAATATTAAACGCACATTTAACTGGCTAACATTACTTACTACAACAATGAACAGCACATCATAGCAGTTAAGGCTAATTAACCCTTTTACAGCACTAGCTGTAAATGTCGTATCATAGTCATCAATAATTTTCTGTTACTTTGGCCACGACGACCTTACATGTGATAATATTTTCATTGCTGCTGGAGGACTTTGGGATTGGCATTTGGAGAAATGTGGCCTAGTGACTGCTGATACAGCCCCCACAGCTATGCCCCTGTTGCAAGCTGCCAGAGATGTGGCCTCGACTCACATGATTTGAGATTCAAGCCACGAATTTGATGACTTGTGACTCAACAAAATCAACAAAGACTTGAGCCTTACGAGGAAAAAAGACCTGATTCTCTTTTCTCTTTTATTCGCCAGCTTCATATATGAATTTTCTGTTACACCTTAAATGGTGTAGATGTTACACCCTGGTGCTCGACTGCTACACCATTTAAGATGGAACAGAAAATTCAAATGACGCTAATTTGAGCATTGTACGTCCATCATTCTGCTGTCTTTTCTGTAAATTTGTGTTCTGGTTTCTGCTGTTTGTCATGAAACGTCATCCAAACTAGTGGCTGTTTTAGACAGCTGGGCTAATTTCAGAGCTAAGCTGATGCTCCCAAAGCCTCCCAAAAAATCAACTAAAACTTAATTTTTTGTATGTTTTTTTTGTGCATGTCCATACATGGTCAATAAATGGATCAGCGTGTTGAGCTTTCTGTGATCTAGCGTGTTTCCTATCACTGTGTACAAGAAGCTCTATGCTGTCTTTATTGTTGGATGCACTGCGATAGATAGCGAGCGTGCACACACATTCACACTTTGAAAGTGATTCGTGCACAACAATAAAAGACTGTAGTGTAAAATATATTTGTGTTTTCTTAGATGACATTCTTTACATTACAAAACAGATGCAGCAACAGCACTGAGAAATTGTTATTAAACAAAAAGAGCAGATCAAATGGTGGAATAAGCCAGACTTTTGCATTAGCTTAAAGGGACACTTTGGCCAATATCAAATATATAACCATTGCTTCATCTATAGTGAACATGCCTACTCACATCCCATAGCTGTGGTGCAAGTAGTCTCTAAAGGGAGATTTCCAGGAGTAAAGATTAGGAAAACCCCCTTTTGATGATGCATCTCGAAGGTGGGAGGAACAACTGCTATGAGGCACATAACTGAGAGCCGGCTATTTGAATTGTAAGCTGAACATCATATATCTGTATTCCAAATGGCTGTATGACATTTTATGTGATGCAAGCTGGGTATCATAGTGAGTGAACACTGATGGACAAAAACACAAAAAAGACTGAATTCTGCAAAAGTGATGAGGCTGAGGGAGGCGATGCTACACTACAGAATATTATGTAAGATGACAACATATCAAACAGCTAGTTTTAGGCTGGCAAGTCCTTTTAAACGGTTAGAATTTTGACATTCAGTGTCAATATTCACAAAAGAGAAGGTGTTCATTACCCTCTTCAGGTTCTTCAGTCTGTTATACTGCTCCATGGCATCCTGTTACGGACAAAATGTAATTTTCCATTAATAAACAAATTTAACAGATATTAAAAGGAATATTATTCATATTGCAACTGTTTTCATTGTGTTCTTGGTGGCTGTCATTCAATCTGTAGTTTGGATACAGTGAGGTCCCTCACCAAGAACTGTGGGCTTCCCTCCTGCAGCCGGTCCAGCTCTCGGTCCACCTCAGCAAGGCCAATGTTGATGTCGTCCAGTTCAGCCTGCAGCCGCTTGTACTCCATGTGGTCCCTGTCAAAATGCCGCTTATATTCCTGCCTCACAACATCGTTAGCGATGGGAGGGAACTCACTGTAAGACAGAGAGAGAGAGAGAGAGAGAGAGAGAGTCAAACATACAATAATGTAAAAATATTACTAGGAGAAGATCTTAATGCCGCTTTGGCTGACCGATACACGAAGTGGGTAGGAACAGTAATGATGTATCAGCAACAGTTTTTGCGTCTAAAATAATGCTCACACATAAGAACATACAGATAATGCTTTTCAATACACACAGTAGTGCAAACGTTTGGAATCACCATTCACAAATTTCAAATCATGTATGATGCTTCTGCATCTTTAAACAAACTGTGTCCCTATCTGATCCGAAGAACAGTGTTTCCTTCCCACAACAAAATACAAGTGTGCTGTTTAATTTTCTTCACGGCAGTGTGGGTACCTGCATCGCTCTGACTTTGATTCCACAGGTAAAGGTGAGCACCTGTGAGAATCCTACAAAACACCATGTGCCTTAGTTAAATAGTCATAGATCCACAGATAGTCAGACAGACAAGTAGACAGACAAGTAGACAGACAGACAGACAGACAGACAGGTAGGTAGGTAGGTAGGTAGATAGATAGATAGATAGATAGATAAAGTAAACATGTCTATGCTGATCATTTGCGATGAGGGGATCTGAACTGTCACCTAACTGTGCCTGTGTACGTTTTTAACCCCTGTAATATCAAAGCTCCTCACTCGTCATAGTCAGTTTCGTCCAGATCATCAGCTGATTCCACTCCTGTATCGTAGTCTCTCAGTTTACTCTTCGTTACGCTCAGCACGCTGGTCAGGTCGGAGCCGCTATGAACAGAGAAGATGTTACAAACTGAGAAACTACAACATCCAAAACTGCAAACAACCAAAGCAGAACAGAAACAAAAGAGGCCAGGAACGGAGAACAAGGAAACAAAAGGAAATTGCACCAAAACAGAGTCCTCAGTTTTAAAGGCACAACAAATAATATTTATGTGCTCTTGTGACTCATTATTACTCTAGATGAACATTAGTCATTGTTATACGGCTGGAGGAACAGAAAATAAAAATATATATAAATGTGATGATACTAAAATAAATAATATCCTGCATTTTGTAAGCTTTCCTTCCTTGTCGCTGTGCAACATTCCATGCCTACCATTACATACAGTTCCTTATAGCAAACACACTCCTTTAGTTTTAGATTTAAAGCTTTAGTTTTGGTTGCAGATTTTTTTAAGTAATATTTGTTCAAAATGAGTCTCTATCTTTTATTCATAGCTTATGATATGACAATGATAAGATATGACACATGAGAAGATCTCATCGTCAAACAAAATGGTAAAATCTGCATTACTAATCAGGTTTTATGTGGCTTGATCAAAACAGTTTCACTCCAAATAAGTCAGGGTGAGGAAAGTTTGCTGATGTGAATTGTTATTTGACATTTGAAACATCAGATTCTAGGAACAGCCGAGCAACATCTCCTCGCAGAACAGGCTATTCGAGTTCCAGCGAGGAACAAAGGAAAGTCCTCCAAAGGTGCCACAAAGCAAACATTCTCAAAATTCTTCTTTTTTTGTTCCACTAGCCACAGTCACCTTTAGCAAATCTTTGGAGCCAGACATGCGTGCATACTCATACATTCACAGCGCTGCTCTTCATGTCAATGGCAGCCTCAACAAATAAACAGCACATAAATATAATACGTTTTCCAGTATTTAGTGTGTCTCCACACACTAACTTTATCTTTATCACAGCTTCCATTCTTTTCAGGTGACTCACTTTCAGTTTTTCATAGAAATCAGCAGGAATATTTTTCCACACCTCCAAAGTTCAGTCTCTAAGTTGGTTGTACTTCCAAGTAATCCCAAACACATTCAGTGATGTTGAGGTCTGGACTCTGTGGTGGTCAGTCCATTGTTCTAAGAACATCAGCAGCTTCTTTGTTTGATCTTTTGTGTCTATTTCCTTTTCTCAGTGAGGTTCTTCTTGACAGCTACACATCCTTTCAGACCCATAGCGCTGAGTTGTCTTCTCACAGTGGAAGGATGGACAGAAACACCTGTGGATGTTTTCAGATCTGAAGCAGCTTGATATTCTCCTCTCTCTCAAAGATGAAAGCTTTAAGTGTTACTTATCTGAAGGGGACAGTTTCAGTGTCTACCAGGTGTTTCAGGTGGTTGTTAGGAGTCCCATTTTCTCTGTAGCTTTTAATTGTTTTTTGAACTTTTAAAAGTTTTGAAAACTCCTGTTTTTCTGCAAGTAGAGTATCTTATATCTAACCTCAGAAATATGTGTCTCTTTGAATGGGAACATAATGTCAGCAGTGAGCTTGTCAGCATAACCATATCAACCATTCCTATTGGTCCATTCATCACAAAATGATGCTCCACTATTGAGGGGAAAAACTTACCCGGGAAGATAGATTGGTTTCTGAAAATCTGGGCTTTGGTCGAGATAGCTCCGTGATGCACCGACCTGGTCATTGTAGTCGTTCACCAAAGCCTCTGGCTCCCCAGACACGTTAGTCACCTGTAGAGAGTTAGTTTATCCATAATTATCTCTGGCTTTCGAGTACAAAGTGACCTAGCTTTCATTTATTTACTAAACAGCCTTTGGGTTCCCACATCTATCACAGTGTAGAGGAAACACTGTATGAAAAAATGTCACTTAAAGACTGAAGTCAATGCTTTTGAGAAACTAGGCGCATGCTATTTGATCAAAGCAGCCTTCAAAAGTGGGAAAATATTTATTTCTTATTCATGTAGGTCATATGAGGTACCAGAGCTGCTGCTACAGCCAACCAGCCATCTCTTTCTCTCTATATGGTAAACAATCTGCCGGAACCTTTAAACCAAGAAGAAACTGGTTCCTCCAGTTCTTCAGCAGATACTATCCACAGATAGCAGGACGAAACTACCACAACGTTTACTAAACCAAGCAACCAGCAAGAGCTTTTGTCCAACCAGCTGATACCAGATCAAGGAATATTTTCTCCCTGAGGTCTTCTCGACTTTAAATAGATATTTAGAACAATGTAGATACTCGTGATTCACATTTAGAAGATGGAGGCTGGAGAAACCTTCCCTGGTTTACTATTATTTAATAATTAAACAAGCAATCTTGTTTCAATAACCTTATTTTATTACTTTCTAATCTTATTTGGTTGCGCAGAACCACTCCAAAGTGGAATACCAATTAAACTGCCTCGGGGGCTGCTGGACACACCCAGAAAATGGACATGAAACCAGTTTTTCTTTCTCAATCTCCCTGCACTCTTTGGAACAGTCCCGCCACCCCCACCCCTCCCTCCCGGTCATATTTAAAACCACTGGCCAGTAAAGATGGCTGGCCGACTCACCCATTTTTCCACACCATGAGAAAAAGTGTCATTGAAAAGTTTAGGCTCCTCCCAGTACACGCGGTGTCTGCCGTAGCGTCTCATCTCCTGGCGGGTCTTCACGGAAAACACCAACAGAATGATCAGCGCCACCGCCAACAGGAACCCCAAAACGATGGCAATGGCCTAGAAGAAAAGAGGGAGTTATGAGACTCTTACAAGTGGGTCTAAAGCCTAAAAACACATAGTCAACAGAAAGACTAAATGGAAAACGCTGAGGACGGCTCCTTATGATTGCTTTATGATACATTTCAATACGATAGGAGTTTTGTATGTCTGGGCACGTCTGACAGGGCTGTGTTGCCAAGATGACCACTGAGTGGACATTCCAATGAAGACTTTGCTCTGACTACAGGCAGCAAGGTCAAAATATAAAAGGTACATTTCCCAAAATTGGTGCTTTACACTAGTGCTCGACCAATTTATCAGTTGGCATCAGGTTAACATATTACAGCATAAAAAAAATAATGTGAACAAAAATTATAAGCGTTGCAATATGAGTTCAAACATGAATCGGAAATCAAAGCACATTTTCCTTCCATATCGCATTCGCGAGTGAAACATCGTCTGAAGGAGGGTCTCTACATGATAAGTGGAGGTGGGAGGGGAGGGGCAAGATCATGGTGCAAGATCATGAAAAGTCAGAGGTCGTCTTTAAATTCTGATAGAAAAATTACAGGAAAACGAAAAAATTGCTTTTTTCAATGATACGAGAGATTGCGCTTAATATGAACTAACAATGCGAAGAAAGGGCAATTGAAACAGTCAGTAAAGCACTGTTCAAAGCTATTGGAGTCTGTTTACATTTTGAGCATATGCTATCCATTACTCTATACTGGTCAGGCCCCAGCTTCAAAGAACGCTCGCTCACCTCCTGAGGTTCCACCACACAGTAGTGGTACATGTACTGGTTGATGAAGATGCCGGACGCCTGGGGTTGGTTCTGGTACTGGGCGCAGAGCTGCCAGATCATGTTGTACATCATGGAGCCGGAGGACTGGGCCGTGGGGTTGACAGCCACCAGGTAGACCACGCTAGCGATGAGCATGAGCACGGCCAGGATGGCACAGATGATGATGCTGGCCAGGTAGAACTTGTGTGAACGGGCCGCGTTCTGCCTCGACACCACCAGGATGAAAATGACCAGCACGGCTATGAAGGTGACAGCCGCGATGCCGATGATGAAGCCCTTACCGGTCAAAGGATCCATGTAGTAGCCCCCTCCGTATCCCCCGTAGCTGCCACCATAGCCTCCAACCCCACTGCCATACGAGCCCCCCGCACCGCCTCCATAGGCACCGCCTCCATAGCCGTAGCCCATGCCCATCCCCAGCCCACCCATGCCCATGGCTTCCATGTCGTAGTCCCATGCTAGAGTGGACGCCACGCAAACGAACAACGCCACACACATGATGATGATGATGATGCACATGATCTTCATCACGCCCGGAGGCGACGTCCAGCGGTAGTAGTGCAGCATGTGCTCGTCCGGGTAGGGGACCGAGAAGGTGTGGCGGGAGGACCGGTGGTGGCTAGAAGAAAAGAAGGACATTTACAGTCTTAATTAGTCTAAAAAAGACTTCAAAAGACGTAAAAAAGGTGCTTCAAGGGTTCTTTAGTTAAGAAAATGGTTCTATCTAGAACTATGAACCACGCTTGATTCTTTGCATCATGAAAGGGTTCATGATGCAAAGAATGTGCATGAATGTGCTATAGACAATTCTGTCGTTACAAGCTTGACACTGGTACAACAGAAGAACCCTTTCTGGTGCTACATAGAACCATTTTCAAATAGGTTCTATATAGGATCATCTACAGCACATTCTCCATCTACATAGAACCATGTTCTTTACTAAAGAAGCCTGGAAGCACCATCATCTTTAGAGTTTAAGAGAGCAGCAGGTCAAAAACTACTTAAGCGTCAGGTTCATTACACACACTCAAAAAAGATGGTTCTTCAAAGATTCTTTAGTAAAGAAAATGGTTCTATATAGAACCAAGAACACTCAAAGAACCTTTTGCTCAATTATAGGTTCTCTGCATCATGAAAGCGTTCTTCAGATTGATGGAAAATGTGCATAAATGTGCTACAGATGGTTCTATTGCAAAAAGCTTGACACTAACAACAGAAGAACCCTTTTCAAAAAGGTCCTATATATAACCACCTACAGCACGTTCTCCATCAATCTGAAGAACTCTTTCATTATGCAAAGAACACTTTAATCACGCAAAGGGTTCTTTGAGTGCTGATGGTTCTACACAGAACCATTTTCTTTACTAAAGAACCCTGGAAGCACCATAATTTTTGAGAGTGTAAGAGAGCAGCAGGTCAAAAAGTATTTAAGCGCCAAGTTCATTACACACTCAAAAAAGATGGTTCTTCAAAGATTCTTTAGTAATGAAAATGGTTCTATATAGAACCATGAACACTTAAAGAACCCTCTGCATGATTAAACGGTTCTTTGCATCGTGAAAGGGTTCTCTAGATTGATGAAGAATGTGCCATAGATGTAATATAGAACCTTTCTGAAAAGGGTTCTATATAGTACCAAAGAGGGTTTTTCTATTGTTAAAAGCTTGACGCCCTCATAAATTCACTTTCATTTGACCTCTTTATCCCTTATGATTAAACAGGCTATTTTTTACTGTCCCTTTAAGACTGATATATGTGAATGAGCTCTATTCTGATTGGCTGCCCAGTACTGTGCCACATTCACAAAGCACTGCGTGCTCAAATGCAATGATATCACAAAAACTGAATTCAAACCAGGCTGGTTTTGTTTCTGTGCCTTTAGGACATACATGTAAATACAACAGGGCCGAACGGCTGCCCTGCACTGCTCTTCATTCACAAAGCAGTACGGGCTGAAATGCTCAGCGTGAATGGGCGGGGTTAAACTGCTGTAGGCTGAATCCGTGGATCTATGACATCCACAAAATACGATGAATTCAAAATGGACCATATATGTTCACATATATACACTGTATGGTGTGCAGTGAACGGTTCATTTTGAAACTCAAGCAAACAACATAAAACTGTTTTATTTAAGCAAGAAATGTGGTTTTCCCTGCCCTGCGATGGACTGGCGACCTGTCCAGGGTGTATCCTGCCTTCTGCCCAATGACAGCTGGGATAGGCTCCAGCACTCCACCGCGACCCAGAAGGATAAGCGGTTTAGATGATGTATGTATGTATGTATGTATGTATGTGGTTTTCCATGACACTGGCCCTTTAATGTCAGCATTTCATTGAAAGAAGCTCTGAAAACAAAAGAGAAAAGCTTCTGCACTGAGGGACTGTTGAAGGAATTGTGAGATGTAGACGAGAAAATGATGAAATCTCACACTTTTCTGATGCTAATTGTATTCAGCGACACTTGACTGAGACGTAAAAGATTTGTGTGAGACAATATTCACCTGAGGGCGGCTTCTCAGGAGCCGAATTTCAGAAAAATATAGCTTAAGTCTAAATAAGTAAGTGGCTGTAGTAATCACTCACGCATGCAAGCCTACCTGTGTTTAAAACCATTTTTAGGGCTATCCTGAGCGATAAAGCATAAAAAGTACTTACGTCCTCTTACTGCTGCTGTGTTTTTCTGAAGGCATGATGGACCCTTGGGTTTGTCCTTGTCCCGAAAGTTTATATAAAGCAATGAAAAGCTGTCCTGTGGAGTGAGATGAAAGCATGAAGGTGAGCAGGTTAATGTATAATTAATCTCACTATTACTGCCTATAAGTCAGAAAAACAGAAAAATGACGAACACATTCAAAGTCAGTGAAGAGGTGAAGAAGAAGTTAGCCTAGGACTAGGTGGCTACACAGAAATGAAAGGGGAACTCCACCAATTTTTTAAATTTCTGCATGATTAAATGATTATCAAGTCAACAAAGTCATTCAGAGTGGTTTGGTGTGAAACGCTCCATTCTAGAGAAACTTACATAGTCAGAACTGTTCACAGTGGTGCTGATAGGAACCAGACGTCCACCTCTTTATTTTAATCTGTTTGTGGTGGAGGACTACATGAAGGGTGTTCTAAGGCAAAGTAGTCCCCAGAGAAAACGTATTATTTTCAGATTTATGAATATTTAACATCATCAACATTACATATAAAAACTCAGAAGACTCATGTAGGTTCACTGGTGGTTTTAGATAGTAAAAAAGGCTATATTTGTGTTGTAGACATTGTGTCCCCTGGTTCCCATCACCACCACTGTAAAGACATCCAAATTCGTAATTTTCTCTACAAAATTCATGTCAAATTATTTCACATCAAACCACTCTGAATGACTGTTTATAGTATGAGCCACTGAATTATGGAGAAATTTTGAAAGATCGGTGGTATTCCCCTTTAAATTAGCACAGCACAAGTGTTGCAACAGCTACTGAGCTCCTCTTCGTGTTCGAATTTCCCGGTCCACCTTAAATGGTGCAGTACTTACATTAACTTCAGCACTATTTAAGGTGGAACGGGAAATTGGAATAAAAAGCCAACATCGCTGCGAATGTTTAAGGTTAAATAAGAAAAGAAAAAAACGTAATAAACGACTAAAAACACACAAAAGTTAACCTTAAACGGGTTAATAATGTTAACGTTCCTGTCGTTTGAAGGAAACGGTCAGTGGACATTTTAAACCAACGTTCCTGTAAAGTCGTCAAATGTCAGTCAAACGGATGAAGAGCAGCACAGACGACACTCGAGTGGAAAAAGAGTCGAAATGAAGAAGAAACTCGGTTTACACGACTTAAAAATAGTAAAATATTACGGAAATATATATTAATATTATACGAAAAATCCCCACAGCGCGTTCATTTATCCAGCTAGAGTAAAATGAACACACTCTCTCTCTCTCTCTTACTCTATCATCTATCTATCTAAATTAATAAGCGTTAATAAAATAATTTACCTAATAATAGTATAAATATGACTGTAAGACTGCATAACAACTCACCTGCTGCCTCTCCGTCCTCACCACAAACACAACTGTGTGGAAAACAAGCTCTCTCTCTCTCTCTCTCACTCTCTCTCTCTCTCAGGTAGGAAACGCCCTCAGCATCATCATCACCCATCCTCCCTTTACTTTTGCTTTTTACTGAAGAATTAGATAACCGTGGTATCTATAGTCGTTATCAAATATGAAATGTGCAAAAAAATCAGTCATTTTAATATATTGTATTATATGTATTTCTAAGCGTGACCTGTTATGAATATTTGTTTATAAGCTGTCTACGTCATACTGTTTTATATTTATAGTGTTTTATACCTCTTGCTGCATGTTATTGCCGTGTGTGACTGTACGCTACATCGTCTTCGGATAATAATAATAATAATAATAATAATAATGAAGAATTAGTTCGTGCCTGTAATTCGCTGCTCTCGCCACTGGGTGTCGCTTCAGCGCGTCTGAAATTATGGCTGAATTTTTGTAAAACAAAATTTTGACAGATTACAGGGTCAAAAAAACTCACTTAAAATGATTTAAAACGCATGTGCTAGATTCGCATCCATGTTCCTCAGTAATTTTATACTAAAATGTTAACAGTGCAACAGTCAATAAACGAGAAATACAGTTTTTTAAACCCATTTTTACTACCTATTATTGTTCATTTATTCAGTACAACAGTCACAAATTAATTTGATTTTATTTGTCTGTACTTTTTTATTCATTCATTTTGTAAATATGACTTTTCGTTTGTGGATATTGTTACTGTCGTCTCACTGTAAATAAAGAAAAGTGAAGTAATATATATTCCATATAAAATAGCTTTCATTTTTTGTTGTGTCAATAAAGAGTGATCGACCTATACGTTAAACCACAGCAGTGCTAAAGAATAACAGGTAAATGTTAAGAGTTAAAGGCTTAAATTTAATTGATGACGCAGTGCTGATAAATCAGGGAAACGACCATCAGTGAGTCAGTCGAAACTGGGGCGTGGCTTATTCCAGCGCCCCGCCCACTTTAAAGGGGAAATCTGATTTTAAAGTTTCTGCGTTATTTAATGTCTGAGATGTAAACAAAGTCATTCAGAGAGAACAGATGCGAAATGTGTCAGTCAAACATGCTGAGTCAGTATTGTTCACAGTGGCGCTGATAGGAACCAGACGTCTGATGCATTTGATGCCTCTAAAAATTAAAGTTATAAAATGGCTACAAACACATTGCCTGATGCCTGAGACATTGTTTACAACAGTTTTGTGATAAGCTTTTGACCTAAACCGTTTTTTAAATGTGCTCCGGGGGCGTTTTAAGGAAAAATATAACCCAAAGAATTTTTTGATGTTTGTATATGTATATGATTGTATACGTCTAACAAAAATCAACAAGATTACTTATAAAATATATATAAAACACATAAACACGCAGTGGATAAATGTTGGTGGACTATTGTTTTGGATAGTAAACAAAGTTATATAACCAACACATAAACCCTATTTGTGAAACTGTTTTGATTTTATAATGATGTGAAAGATTATTCGAATTTTTGTCTTCAACCAATAACACGGACGTAAACATTGCACAGATAATATGAAAACTTTGATTCAGTTGGGTGTGTGAATCATTCTAATGAAACAATATTATAAATACTTTAAATAAACAAAATTAAGCAAATAAAAAGTTGTTGGAATGAGTGGAATATCATTTTTCATGTTTTCATTGGGCTCTCAGTCTAAGCACATCTGCGTAAAACTCCATGTAAACTGGATTCTAGACAGAACAGCAAACATGCTAAATACACTAATGTGGCTAACAGTGGACAGAAGCTAACCGCTAATTAGCTACTAGGTTCAGTCACTGTTAGCGACATTAGCATTGTTCATAGTAATCACTAATTAGCATGATATCATTAACAGAAATGAGAGGCTATTTGGTTTTATTCACTGTTAGCAAAATTAGCATTTCTGACTGAACTCTGTAATAGCAGTTAAAGCTGTTTCTTAAACTTGTTTCTTAGTTGTTTTCGTATCTAAACAGATCAGCTCGTGGATGAAACAGGGAAGATTGTCCCTAAACGTTCAAAATCTATTTATTTAAACATTTTAAATAAACCATTGCTAATTTGCTGTCCTTGTGAATGAGTTCTAGGTTCATATTGCTTAGCGCCTGTTAGCTAATTTGTTCAGCGTAGACCATCAAAAAAGTGAATTGCTGACAAAAACTTCATCTTTTTCTTCCCTTTCTATACTTTAAACACATAAATACAATCATTTTAAAACTAGTTTTTCTGAAGTTGTCATGAATCAACAAAAAATGTGAGCTATGGTGATGATTACACATCCAGAGTGAGTGGAGTCCATGTTCCCTTCCTGAAACTAATTATAGCTTGTAAGGTGAAACTCGCACAGAAAGTCTGGTCAAACCAGTTTACACGTGCCTCGAATTCCTCTCAATCTACATACAGTGTCTGTGAAGTGAGGTTCCCATTCACAACAACAGAAATGAGCAATTAGCTCACTATTTCTGCTCCTCAAAAGGCCTAAAATCAGTTGTACACTACAGTCAAGGATTTCATAGCAAAAACATTAACATTAGCAATTAGCAATAAAGTTCTGAAGAGTGGATGTGTTCAAGCAACTCAAACTCATTGGACAGAAAGAGGTCAGTAACACTGACAGGGCTGCCTTAAGGAGATACCAGCAAAGTAGGGAGAAGTGATGGGAACTGAACAACTCTTGGGTCATGCTAATCCATTAGCCTCCGGGCGGTTCTGCTCTAGTTCTCACTAGAAAGTCTTCAGTCACTTGTTTATATGAAAAGTTGCTCAGTCAGGTTCCTGTGACAACATTGCAAGGCCTCTGAAATGAACAGGCATCAGTGAAACGCCACAAAGAACCACCTGCTGTAAACAGTTTGCATTTTTTATAGCAAATAATGAAACATTTTTTGTGTTACTGTAAATGTGCGAAGAAATTAAAATGATCTGTCAAGTCAAAATGTTTAGAAATGAAAATTAGTGAAAGAGATCTCAGCTAAAACATATTAGCTCACTCACCATACCAGGAACCGTTTTTTCAGTTTTTGACATGATTTGAAAATGTCTGTTGCCCTTTACATTGTTTGTAAATTTCATGATACATGGACCAAACGAAATGGCCCAAAATGACTTGGAAAAAATTCCGGTTCCATTGACTTACATTAAAAGTAAAGTAGCTTTTTTCCTTCTCCTGTAAAGTTACCATTCTGGAGATATGAGGTTTTGTTCCAACAGCAGCAATATGTGTGTGTGAGAGGATCCATCACAGGCCACTTGTTACAAATTAATTTTTTTAAGTGATGTTGGAAAATTTCTATTTGTCTATTCTTCCATTCACTAAAATAAAAACCACATTGACACATTGCTCTTTTTACTTTCCTGATATGTGACAGTATAAAAGTGTACAAAAATGAGCCCTTGCATACAAAATCAAACAGAAATGTAGAACTCAGAGCTAAAACTCATGTTTCTGGAATAATTTTTATAAAAGCACATTAAAAAACACCTATTATAGACAATAAAAACATGTATGATTCGTATTTTGCTTCATCGAAAATATCTAGACCAAACCTGCACCACACTCAAAACCCTACATTATCACAGCAATGACAGAGCGTCCTTTAGCAGTCTTGTCTAAACCTTCATTCAAAAAGACTATTCAGACTTAAATACATCTTATATAGCATTCATCTCTTGGTTGATGTGACTAATACACAAAAGCACACACTGCCAAATATTCACATTTAAAAACTGATATCAGATCATACACATACAGCATACAGTGAATCATCTCCTTCCTTCTTCTCATAAAGGTTCATGTGCTTTTTGGTGGATGGCAAGGAAATCGGCGGCAAAGCTGGACGTCAACAGAGGAGAATACGGCTGATGCTATGAGCGTTTGTGGTCAGTGTCAGAGAGACGACCGTCGTCAGCCTGTTTTAGCTGTAACCGTCATTCCAATCCATCACCTTGTCATATTCCTGGATTTTCAGCTTGATGTGAGCAAGCTTATTCTTCAGATATTCACATCTTTCCCTCTTTTCCAGGAATGTTGGGTCCTACAAACAGAAATGAGAGAGGAAGTAAGCTGTATGAAAATTAGCTCTGAAACTTTCTTTCTCTGTTTCACAGAACCGGTTTTACACAGATTAAACCCAGCATTGCTTACAAAGAAGGCTTTCAAGTGATGGTGAAATTTAACCCAAAACTGGCCTTAATCTGTGTCTGGAAACCAAACCAACAATGCTAGTCATGAAGCTTGTTTCTCTCACTGAGACAAAATGCTAGGCTAATCTCAGGCTAAAACTCAGTGAGAGAAAATAAGGTGCCTGAGGTGAAGTTAAAGTTTGAATGATCTTCTAAGTGGAAGGAACTTCTAATTATAATTATATTGACTTGTAAACTAAAAAATAGCTTTGGGTTTAGGAACTTCAGGCCACACTTACCTTAAATTTGACAATTTAGCCTGCTAAGCTAACAAAACACTCTCTCGCTAGTCAGATAGCAGGACCAATGTAGCAAAGATATTACCTCAAAAATTGCATCTGTATGATCTATTACACTATATTTGAATTACTTTCTAACATTCAATAAATGATCGGGGAAGGAAAAAAGTGGTATAGAGATGATAATTTCTCACACAGAGATAAATGCTAGGTTAAAAACTAAGTGAAATGACCGTAGAGATATAGTCATTTTTTTAATTATCATCCAAATGGAAGGAACTTCCATCATGATGGGATTTTCAAATTGGGATTTTCAGTAATTTAACCTAAAACTATGTCTGGAAACCAAACCAACAATGTTATGTAGCCATTAAACTCTCACACTGAGACAAATGCTAGGCTAACCCTCAGGCTAAAGCTCACAGAAAATAAGGAGCCAGAGATATAGTCAAATTTTGAGCAATTTGTTTTAAATAGAAGTATCAGGAAATATGATGAGACTTCCAAATTGAACAAATTTAGCTTGAGGTTCAGTAACCACAGACCACATTTACCTGAAACACATCTCACTAGTCAGCAAGCTCTATTGATAATCAGTGTATCAATGTAGCATTGGTTAAAGGTAGGATTATCTCTAAAAATGCATTTGTATGATTCATTAAGCTC